CCCCAAAACCCCAAAACCCCAAAACCCCAAAACCCCTTTATCTTTGGTTTTAACAAAATAAAATAAATCGACAAGAAATGGCAAGCATCGGATCTGGTTTATTAGAGCTCAGTATTTTAGACCTGAAGCTAGATAAAACCATTATGGGCAAAGATCTCTCAATAGAGATTGAAATTGATAATCAGAGCATCATCACAGTTCCTGTGAATAAAAACTCTGAACGTTTCGATGTAGATATCACTAATGCTAATGAAATTATGGAGCTGAAGATTTGTGCAGGCAGCGCAAACAGAAGCAAACATATTGGTAAGATATCCTACCCATAAGAACTTAGCTAACTTTTGCTATAGATAGCTTCTTCGTTCCCATCGATTTCTTCAGAGAAGCCACTCCAGAAACAGTCTCAGGGTTTGAAATTAAAAGAAGAGAAGAAGGATGGATTTATTTCGACAGAAATGGATACCTCCTAAAAGACTCAAGAAGAAAGAGAAGAGGTATCGAGATCTCATTCGTGTTCACTGAGAATGGATCATCTGGAACTGGAGTTTCTGCAAAGAGTGCAGTTGCTCATACAACAACAGTAACCACCACTACCACAAAGAAAAGCTTTGGAAGCTCGATGGTTAAAAGATCTCCTCCTAGAGCTAATGCTTTGAGAGGAAGTCAAAGATTAACAAGATCTCCTCCATCCGCTCAATCTTCTGCTGCTAGAGCTCAAAATTCTGCCACAGCTGAAGCTGTATCCCGTTCTCAACAGAGAAGAGTGGTGAAAACTCTCGAATATCGTCCAACCCCAATTGATGCTCAGTCTCAACAAGAAATAGACAGAGAGCTAGTAAGCTTCTGTGGAGAACTGGATGGTGAATCGAAAAGTCATATAAACCAGCTTGATCAAAATGTAGAAGGACTCAAGGAAGTCTCAAGGCAGATTGAAGCCACTATTGATGAAATTGAACAAGTAAGAAACAGAGATATCAAAAGAGTCAGAAACGACACTATTGATAAACTAGATATACTCCTCCACAGGAGTGAAGGGCTTGCCCAACTCCATGATGCTCAATCCAGACTCACTGAGAAGCAAAATCAGCTACTTGAAAAAGAGTATCAGTTGGATAACCTGAAGCATGGGAATACTCTTCTTACCACAATCATGAATAAAGCTGCAGGATTAAACACTGATAGGGATAAAGTCTACTCCAAATTCAATGAAATTCTTTCTAAAGATATCGAAGACCAAAGGACGGAAGTCTTCAGGATCCTCGAAGAAACTGAGAAAGAAGGAAAAGATGTAAAAAGAAGCGGAGACATCGACAGAACTCTTAGTGAAATCGCCCATGCCATCAAGGTTACTGCAGTTGACGAAATCCGTAAGAGAGAAGGCCTTCAGGAGAAATATGCTAGAGAAAAGACTAAAGCTAAAGAAGAGAAAATGGCTCTTGACAAAAAGATCTCTAAAGCTGATGACGAACTTAGAAAACTCAAAAAGCACTTAGATGGACAAAAGAATAATATTGCCCAGAAAGAGGACAAGCTCGCAAACATCAGAGATACCATTGTTAAGGAAAGACAAGGACTGGTTGAAGACGAGAACAAGAATGCTGATCTTGAAAAGAAACTTCAGGAACTCAAAAACAGAATGAGAATGCTCGAACAAGAGAACCTTGTCAATAGGCTCAGGAACATCAATAACACTAAAGCTAACATCCAAGAGCAACTTCTTAAGGAAAGAGACAATGCCATGATGGATTGGATGAGAGATAGAATTAATGAAGACACTGGCAAAAAGAAAGCCCTTGAAGAAAAGCTCAACCAATGCTACAGCTTTGAGACTAGAGAGGTCATTGATTTGTTTGAGAAAGAGAAGGAAATCCAAAGGGAGCAAAGACAAGATTTTATAAATGCACTTCAAGAAGAACTCCAGCAAAAGAAGGAAAATGAGCAAGTCATTAAGGAAGAAGTAGATTCTGCTACTGTAGAACTGAAGAAACTAAAGAAGGGTGCCAAGCCAATCCCTGAATTTGAGGATGACCTCAACATTGACCATGAGAAGCTCTATGGAGATTTGAAGGAAGTAGCTTTGGATAATCTTGACAAAAACCAAACTCTCGCCACAAGCAAGAAGGATGTTAAAGAGCTTGAAGTGAAGATCCTCCTTATACAAGATGATATCAACAACCTCAGATCTTCATGTGAAGAGCTAGAAATCTTGATTGAAGAAATGGGTGTTAAAGAGTACCCATCCCTCGAGATTGACGAGAGTGAGCTTCTCAGATTAAGAGAAGAACTCAGGATCAAAAGGACCGAACTTCATCAATATGAAGATCAGAAAGCTGATCTTGAAAGAAGAATCAGGGAAGCTGAGAAAGAATACAGAAATATCAGAACTTATACCTCCAGAAGGTTTGTCATCAAGGAACTTAATGATGATGGAGAAGAAGTCAAGGTAGAAACTCAAAGCTATAGTCAAAGTTATGGATATTCCCAAAGCTATGGAGGAGGATCTCAGAACTTTAGGCAAACTGAAAGTTATGGGCAAAACCAGATACATAATGTCTTCAAGAATAAAAATGAGACTTATGTATCTTCTTCTGCTCACTACTCTCCAAATAGAATCCAGATCGACCCTGAAGAAGTTAGGAGGACAACTCTTGCCAAAAGTCCAAAGGCTGATTTCAAAATTGACAGGATTATGAAAGAGAAGTACTATGGAAGACCTGGTCCAAAGATCAGCAAGACTGAAGATGGCACTTTCATCTATGGTACCAGAGAATTCGTTGTGTGGGAGGAGTTTGGTACTCTCTACGCTAGAGACTTAGATGCAGATAATTCCCAAAAAGAAGAGCTTGAAAATTACCTTAAAATACATGAAATTCATGAGAGACACACTGCTCTCAAGACAAATCTGGCCTACCTGAATGATGACATTGGTTCTGAAGATGAAGAAATGGCTGAAGTTGGAGAAGAATTTGAATCTAGAGACAATGCTAGATATGGCCTCAGATAATTATTCAATAACAAATTACTAAAAAGGGGTTTTGGGGTTTTGGGGTTTTGGGGTTTTGGGG